GCTAATACAGCATGGTTCCGTCACATCTCATCAGGCCGAGGATTTTCGTCCTGTGGCGAATGCGGGTCATAGTTCTTTCAGGTGAGACCATACCAAAACGTACAAAGGCCCAGGAAGATCGTATAGCTCATGTCGCACGAAAGCTAGGCGGACTGCCATCCGCAGTGGCGGCTTTTTCCCGCGAAAAATAACCGGTAGTACTTAAACAACTATTCCTGTGTCTCTGCGTGTTGAAAGAGAACTGAAAGGAGCGCACCGAAGGCTTGTGCGTCCACGAAAAAAGGGTGCCCGTCTGAACCGCTGGAGGGCGCGAGCATAGTCTACCTAATGTAGCATCTCGCATCGCTTCTAGATTATGCATAGTGCTCAAAAAATGATGCTATCCTATGAAAGAACTGAGTGGCTGATTGTCGTAAAATTAAGGCAGGATAATCGCCTTTGGAGCAGAAATCATCTTCTTTAAATATCACACATACATAGTTGCTGATGGACATGTGTCTAAGAAAAAGAACTAAAAAAAAAACAATAGGACTCGATAGAAATGTTCAACAGTTTCTGAGCTAGTCTTACGTAAAACTCATACAAACGACGAACGCTTTTTGAACCGGTTAGTTCTACCTAACTGTCTGACTGAGCAGCAGACGTAAAGCATTTTTTTAGCACTTTTTTATAACTTTTACAGCAGATTGCGTTGTGTCAGTACTTCAATATTTCATTACTGTTTGTGTCATTGTTATTCAATGTAATGTCGAAAGTCATGAAATAAAGAAGCATTGTTTGTTAAGAGCTTGAGCATGGCTCAATAATAATATCTACTTTTTACTTTATTACTTGGCTTAATACTAAGATTAGACGACTCGTTTTTATCGTTTCGGCAAAATAAACGCCGTTATTAAACAAACAGCTAGGCTTATTGATAATTTACCTACGTGTGAGGTAAGTAAACCTTTACCAACGGTGGCTTAACAGTAATACCAATTGCTTGACAATTGTTCGATGCTATTTCAGTCTGGTGCACTGTCTTACAAGCGATATGTGGACAAACGTAGGAAAGGTTGTTGAATCCTATCCTGGCTTTTCGCTAAGGTCGTCTGGGTACAAGGCAGGCTTTTAATGGTGCAAGAACGTAATGTTGTAACGATGCTGGTAAAGTTTGTCCGTCTAAGCAAATTCAACTTCGCTAAGGTATTTAAATTAAAGTCTGTATTTCAGTTTGGTGCACTGTCTTACAAGCGATATGCGGACAAACGTAGGAAAGGTTGTTGAATCCTATCCTGGCTTTTCGCTAAGGTCGTCTAGGTACAAGGCAGGCATTTAATGGCGTAAAAACGTAATGTTGTAACGATGCTGGTAAAGTTTGTCCGTCTAAGCAAGTTCAACTTCGCTAAGGTATTTAAATTAGAGTCTGAAGACGTCGCCTGAACCGACTAAAAGCAATGCCGATTCCCTCTTCAAGATCAACTAGCTAGATATTGTGAAACATTCTTCTCTTCGAGATGTTAGGAGCCTTTTACTCAGCAGTTAGTTCCCAATGTAAAGCCTTTTTTGCGGAATAGGGTGGGTTATTATTGCGGAATAGGCTGGGTTATTATTGTTGACCATTTTCCCAAAATAATTACTCAGCAGTTAGTTCCCGATGCAAAGCCTTTTTTGCGGAATAGGCTGGGTTATTATTGTTGACCATTTTCCCAAATATTAGGTTCTATCTACTTTTACTGCACATGTCTAGCGGAAACCGCAACGGTTATCTAACCTTTTGGCTCATTCTAGCTGCACTAGTTGGTGAAAACTCCATTGCCTTTACGGGGCAAGGGCTGTGCTGACCTTCTTCAAGCCGACTTTGTTCACAATGTGTATATAGCCCCCAAGAGACATATGGACGTAGGATATGTTGCTGGGCACGTTGCCTACCTAAATAAATAGTATACCATATTGAAGGGACGTAATTGTATACAATCATAAAGAACCAAGCTTGCTTTAAACCAGCATAGGCAACAAAACGAAATACAAAAAATACTCATTTTTCTCCATTTGCCCTAGCCTGTTTATCGTTGAGATGTCGTGCGCATGTAATAGGGCGTTTCTACGGCAACAAACGCACACTGCCCGCTGCAGCGATTGGTTACGACCCCAAATTTGCGGTATACTTCTACATCGATATTGCCGCCCTTGGCCTCTACTCATCTGCAATTAGACCATATTTTACTAAAGTATTGATCAAGCTAGCTTTATCACCCCCGAAGCCGACATTCAATTATGAATCTTGATATTCAATGGACTGGAGTTCCTTTTTTCTTAGGCCCATTCAACTGGATCAACGATTGAGGATTATACCTTGATAGGAGAATGATGGCCATATCTCTTGACTGGGCCTTGTCTTCACAGGTCCAGCGAGATTTAAACGGATATTCTTCAAGTTGCGATGCCTTGCGATCTTCCTCAAGATCTCTAAGGATAGTGGCAAAGTCGACAGCCGAACATGCTGAGAGAACGGAGGTCACGTCTTCTGGACCATCCCTTCTGACTGTCACTTCGCGGGTACATACATCGCCCAGCACTACATTCTGTTGCCATAATTTTTTGCCAGCATCCACTTGAGTGGTAGTACGAAGGTGATCTATCTCGGATGCTGATGCCGGCCGGCGTTCACTGATTAGCTCGAAACTCTTGTCAGCACGAACGTGGGCTGTAGCTTCCAACAAAGTATTCTCACCTTTCGTACTGTTTTCGTCTTCAAAGCTAAGTAATTGTTGCTGTTCGTCAGAAATGGTCGATCGGGACCTTGACGGCGTTGATATGTCAATCTGAGCTTGTGGAGACATCATCTTGATTTCGCGCGACATTGCGAGCCCCAATGTAAACGAGTTCGTCCATTTTTTAAAAGTCTTTATTTCACTGCTGTTCGCGGGTTCCTCAGCTGTCCTTCTCAGAAATTTTAGCTCTTCTTCACTGGTGGCCCGGCGTCGCTCGACGTCCAACTCGATAAATTTACTGCTCCTAAGATTTGTCACAATTTCCATAATCTCAATATCACCGTGAGAGGATGATTCATCTTCGTATGACAGATAGTCGTAGCCTGTACCACCCGGTTCAGCAGGCTCTTTCATGATGGCTGTGATGGTGAGCTGTTGTCTGTTTGTTGTTGACAGCTACGAGTTTTAGCGAAGTCCCTTGTTTACCCAGCCTGAAATCACGGCCTTGCGTTTGCTCTGCATCCACCATCAACTTCGTTTTCAGCACGAACTGTTGGACGAAAATAGTATTTCGAGTGTTGAGTCCGAGGTTCATCAGACGACTGCCCTGCTCCCAGCATCGATCTGGAAGTAGCCGAGCGAATTAGATCGTGCGTGCAACAAACACTAATTGTTGCTAGTAGCATTCGAAAGAATAATACCCGCTTTCCTTGAAGGAGACGTTTTACTGTGCCGGAGTGCCTTGCTTATCACCCATATTAGACTACTAAATAAAATGCACATAATTTAATTATTTTACCTTCGAAAATATAGGATTAAACAAATTTTCCAGGTATAAATAGATAGGATGTGTACACCTTGCAGTGGTAATCCGTTAGTATTAATTACTTGCTTGAATTTTATGAATGGACCCTTATAAAATTTCGGTAAACGCCGATTTATAGAACAGAGCTTATATTTCGTTCCTACCCTTCTCTGGATACGGGCATCGTCCGATGTCTCCAACTGCCAGTTTAATCGACCGGCTAGTAGGACATAGCCATTAGTAATCGACAAAGGCCAAACCAATTTGTCGTTTATCTGTGCCCAAATGGTGCCTGTCTACTTTTACGCAAAGCAAGGATGGGTCTAATACTTCAACTATCTATTGTCATGTAATCATTGTCTCTGACGCATCGTATTTTGCTAAGAACTAAAATAAAAAATCAGAAATTCCTCGACGGGCCCAAACGAAGCGCGGGACCATTTGAGTGTGCTTTCAATTTATATCCTATACTTTTGATCGTGAGAGAAAATTTAGTAAACATAGGAGGACACACACTTTCGTCCGATACCTTTTCCAAGCTATAGTGCAGAAGACGGAGGGGACACGGAGCTTTTTCTGCGCCGATTTACTTCATCTTAGTATTGACATAATACGATCATTTTTTTTTTGCTAAACATATTTGATCGAAGGAAACATTTAACATATTACGGAACTATCTAGCTCACTATTTTGGGTATCCGAACATACGTGACTGGTCTGTGAACGAGTATATCTTTCGGAAAATAATTTCGACTAAGTATATAAACCGCTTTCAACACATCTAGTTATTGTTAATTAAATAGTGCATCACAACAGCTAAGGTGAGCGTCATGCGTGAGATATCATTTAGGACGCCATGATCTGGTTGAAAAATATAGGGAGACCAATACAATTTATTTAATCGTATTACTTGTTGTCAAAAGATTTCCATAAGTAGCTAGTATCACCAGAGGCTAGTTGATACGGCCATAATTTTTTGTATGTATATCATATATTTTTTTCCTTGAAAATTCTGTTCTTTTACCTAGCCGCCATAAATTAAAGAAGAGATGACGACACTGCCAAAGAATAGTTCCAATGTTATATTTGTTTTTACTTTATTGTCTGATCATTTATATTTAATTGTAAAATATACTTGTCACTATTAGAGCATTGTCCTCCTTTATTTTTGCTTCATACACCTTGTCGCCATCTCTTCGTAACTCTATCTCGCCCATTTTTTCCTTTCGCTATCATATGTTACCACTTGAACATATAATCTCATATACCGATGAACAAGGAGTGTGTACATCGGCAATCGTTTCCACAGAACAGGATTTTTCCGTTAATTTTTTCTGTCACCCTATCGTTATACCAATATACTCAACACCTTGCCTCTATTATCTATATTTTTGATGATATCGTTGTTAGTAATATTTAGAAGGAAACGAAAATCGGAACCATACTACAATATTGCTCACTTTCGACAGGTCATGCCTGTTTAACATTAACATTATTTTTAGTTTTTTTTTTTTTGCATCTCTGATACTCAAATAGACGATTGTCGCCAACGTAGTATTTTTCTTCGATTAACGAGGTGTCCACTTTTTTTATGACCAAAACAGAAGTGTTGGCCCCGAATCGCTTTCGTTTTATCATCGACCAGTCTTTCAGTTAACCAGTATTTCTTATATATTTATATGTTTATTTAAGTAACCTTCTCCATTATGATTTCCATCCAGGTATTTCGAATTTTACATCCGGTGCTGCCATTAGACGCTCCATCATGCGGCTGGTTCCCAGCACGAAACGAAGTCTGTCCATGCCTAGATTCGAACACAGACCACCGTGTGTGTGTCCCCAAGATATTAGCAGGCCAACACGTTACCCACTAAGCTGTCAGGGGAACTTGCTACCTCAACCTATAGCGTCTTTTCTTGCCTTTGCATTTCTCTCTACGTCCTCCCCTAGTTTATTCGGACGCCTCAGCTCTCCCTCTTTGGCATCGCCATCCTTCTCCTTACGATAATACCATCCATATAACCAGCGTTACTGTCCTCTGTGTTAGCGTCCTTACTTTATCATTACATTATTGTTTTCATTATCAGTATATTTATGAGAATATGGATTTATATACAAATGCGACGCGGCACTCGGCAGGGCTGGCGATATTTTCATACAAGGCTGATAGAGACGTTTGAGTATGTCGTATGATACGCGTTATTGTTTTATAATATATAGCCCCTGGGAATACCAAATGGACTTTTTTTGCGGATTAACTGTTTTAGTCTGTTCCGTATCTCGCTTCTCGTCTATTGCGGCAATCATTTGCCGATATGATAGCTTCAATTTGGTTTTCGTTAACGAAACGCCGAGTACGATCACGAAGCTCTGTTTTCAGTAATAGTGTTCTGTGAATATTGCGTGTCTGTGTTTCCGTGCCTCGTAAGTTATGGAAATGACAAAACATTACATAGAACCATATAGTGGAATAACAATGGAATGGATACGTATCAGCTGATAGCGCAGATGCGTTGACTGCACCACGAACAGGCAAAGTCTGTCCGTCGCAAATGCTAGTAATACATGTAGTGTACATCTTAAATTTCCTCTACTGTCATAAATACTATCTTCGGTAAATGTACATCATCTTGTCTTATCGCTTTTTGTCTAGCAACGTTGTACCTTATTATGTTTATATAATAATGCTAATGAAATAGCTATAAGTAGTTTTTTTTTTATATCTGTCTGAGGCTTCCGCGCAAGGATGTGTACAGAGATGCTTAACTATCCCGATGTGCCGCGTCACTTCTTCAAGCTTTCCATCATCACATGCAGAAAATAGAAACTTCACCAGTTGTAGAAACCTCCCTTTGTCTGTTCGTTGAAAATCAGAGGAAGATTGGGTTGGGCTTGCGGACGCGACCAGCAATGACAGATGGCGAAGATGACTAATGCAATGACAAAAGAAAAATTGAGATCAGCTTATGATAATTGACCTCTGCGATCGAAGTGGCATATAGTGACATTTTCTAGTTTCGATTGGCGGAAACATTGGGCTAGTTAGGATTATATGCCTCGGCCTTTTCAGGTCTGGACCGCTTCCTCGATTTTGTCATATGGATAGATACGATTTATACGCATCTGTCATAAATAGAGCATTAGCGAGATATACAGTTAGACGGAGACGAAAACGCGAGCTAGACTTGACAAGTAAATTTGTGGCTTATCGAGCTTCGAGTAACTCGATCCATCATTTCCCGCTTGTAACTGTCCATTAATTAGATGCACGACTCATAAGTGTGCTGGTTACCCATGAGCGACTAAAGAGTGACAGTCCGATCTAACTGAGTGCGGCACATTACTTACTTGTAAGTTGGGTAACGTAATGTACGCATGACGTGAATATGCTCGACTATACACAATGGAGTGCTCTAGCTGTATGTTAAATGCTAACAGACGCAAAAGTACTCAGTTGAAATTAATGACCTCTGCCTGTTTTCACATTTGCCATCCGTATTGTCGTTATGGTTACGCTAAAGTTGATTATGGTATTTCTCAGCGAACTAAGGCTTCGAAAACCAGGTGTTACCTTCAAGCTAGTGATATATTAAGTTGGGGGCGGCTGTTGACGTTACCGGTATCATTGTGGACGTCGAATTTTTCGTTTTCCCTCCATCCACTTCGGCATCGTTGTTGCATTTCTACTGTAGCTTTTCAAAACTTTACGTAAGTGCTTCGATACTTTTTCCCGCTCGAATCTTCCGTTTCGTCTTTTTCGTTCTGCTTTTTTTCTTTCGATTTCGGCCTTAGCACGCTCATACGACTTTGTAATTATGTTTCGGAGGTCGGTTTTCACGCCCCGAAGTTTAGCTGATTCATCTGTCTCAGACGAGTCGAGGACTAATGTTTAGCCTAGTTCATTCGTACTGTTGGGCGTGCCTACTCATTGACGCGACCGGTTACCAATCGATTCGTCAGGTGCTGCGTTCACCATCACCTATCGCCGCCTCCATGTTGTCGTTGATGTATTTCCCCGGTTCGCACAAACTCCTTCATACGCTTACATATGGCGAAAAGATCATGATACTTAGACACTGGCTCTATACGGATAGGTAGCACTTCATATTACTATGCGGTGTTCTATATCCACTACATTGTGGATATATTATACGGACATTCAGCTATCGTTGGCCAAGCCAAAAATAGTAGATGGGCTACGTTGTCCTCAGCACCATTTCCATTATCATTATTATTATTATGGCGTAAGGCTGTGGCGTCTGTACGTATTATATCTGAAACGTATCTGGCATCGCATCGCATAGGGAAACGGGGGTTCTTTAAATAGGGGCTTTTGTGTACATATTCATGTTCGTTATTCGGTCTGGATTCTCTTACGTATGGCCTTGTCGACTTACGGCGTTTACCACATGATACTTATGGCTGGAAATCTATCTCGGGTGTGTATGTGTGTGTGAGCGTGTGTGCATATACGTGTGTACCCGAGGACATTTTGGTGGCACTCACATAATAACTTTTACCGTATTGAAGCAAAAATATGATATGAGCATTTGGCGGGAAGATTTAAAGACTCGGCATATGACTATAGATGCGATACAGCTCCATAGTATAATCATTATCAAGTGAGATTTAAAGTGCCAGTTCTTTATTCTTTTGTCATCGTATCGCCCCTGATGGCTACGGCCATTTCCTAGTTGAAACAACAATGAACACCATCCATCACAGGCCGACGGTGGTTTACTCGTTGCTTGCGATGACTGGCTGTCAACAGGGGCGATCCAAACACGCATACGCACGCACCTCCACGTACACACACATTTGGAGAAAGGGCAGGTTTCCAAAACACGATGGAGATTGAAGGGGGATAATGGAAAGAGTGAGGGCACAAAACGGGAGCTGTCTCCACTCCGCAGATTTTTCTAAACTGTGTTCCTCCGGCGTTTTAACGCAAAAAAACTATCGACCTGATATTCACGTAGGTGCAACGGAACCGTCATATTGATTCTAATCGCTGGTTATTTGCTTAGTTTTGGATTGCGACCGTTGCCGTTACAGCTGTATCATATAGTAGTAGGAGTGAATAAAGAAAGGAAGGCCGTCATTTTCTCAAATTGTCGTTACCTCCTATGTATAGCCTGTACCCTCAATATGGGTTCGTCTAGTTACAAGGGTCCAGAACTGTTCGGCCTACGATTATTATTATTATACCATTTTTAAGGTTAAGAAACTCAGCTATTTCTTTTCGTACAGTTATGCGATAGTTGATTTTGGTTACTCGTGATAAAATCGTAATGCGACGACATGGCGAGCGTATGCATCGTGTGGTGCGACGATGGTGGGTCATGACTGGCTCGTCAAATGGTCCCTTGTTCACGCGCCGGAGGAATAAAGAGAAGTATGAGTAATAGTTCATGAATGTAGACTGACGAACAAACGAGTAAACGAACTCATTGTGGCCACTGCGGTTCTCCTGGCGCTCCATTCGCCAGTAAAAGCGTACTAAAAGGTACGCTTTTACTGGATGGATAGAGCTTGCCACTCCTTTTTGGTTGAATGCTAGCAGCCGCAAGCCATCATACTCTTGATTTTATTGATTGATACTATTATTATTGTTGATATTATTATCAGTTATTATTTTAGTACCTCCTCTTCGTATTTGTTGCAGTTTGAGTGACATCGACATCAGCGGTGATGATCGGTGGATGGTTGCTTGCTTTGCGCTACTCTGCTTGTAAGAACTTGGTTTGTTAGTTTTTTAGATAGGCAAAGTTATTAAACGGTCGGTTTTTCTTTGTTAATTCGTTAGCGTATTGTAGTTTTTAAATGTAATCGAAGACAGGTAGCCCGGGACGCAACACAAAGACTGCTATTGAGAAATCCTTGTCCAACACAGTTCTTGGTTTGGCCAAAGGTGTCTTGTCAGTAGTGTTCGAAATAGATAATCGTCATGTAGCCAGCGCCTTCTGGCGCGGCCTCAAGTAGCATTCTTAATGCCTTGGCCTGAGCATGTTAAGCTCATCAGTCAACTCAGAGTCCTTCAAGCTGCTGCCGGTTTTTCGGAGTAATCGGCGTGCGGCACGCCTCTGCAATAATTTAGAAAAAAAAACGACGACAGAAAAGCAAACATATTGACATGTTAGTATCCCTAAACGAATCTTAATATAACAAGAGCATTAGGTGAACCAAAAAACGTTTTGATAAAAAAAAATCACAACACCTAACTTTCTATCGAGTTGTAAGTATTCTACAAGTTGTCTGATCGAAACGAGATCATCCAACTGCGTGGAATGGTGCAAGAATGTTCTCTGCTTGGATCTACTGTGCTAACGCCAAATCCCCTCGAATGCATCAGGTGCATCTACGGACAGCAAATGTGTTTGAGTAAGCTGCGCTGTGGACAGGCAGATGATTCGAAGTGTTGTGTTTGCCTGCTGTTCTTCAATAACACTTCACTGAGTTTAAACTGTAGTCAATCATATGTTGCCTTTTTTCTTGGTCCGACCTGGCGCTTTGTTCCCTGCTAAGGCGCAATCGTTTCCTCCATTGTTAAAACACGCGTGGACAAATATGACCAAACAAATGTGTTTTCATTATCCTAGTAAACATATGAATTTAGCTACGGCGAATAATAAAATCAATTGCTGTAATTGTTTTTTTTATTATTTGAAGCTTCCTACAGGTGTCACTATTTTTTTCCGAACTGTCGGGCGAGCGATGTTAGCCGTTGGCTGTGGAACAACCCAGACCCTTACCATGCATGGCTCATTATCACAGGCCTCTCCTCCATATGGCAATCGCACCATTTCGGACCATATCGATGAAACACGCACTAGGTAATCGACAAGCCCTAATTCTATTTCGACGTTTTTTAAGCCATCAGACTTGCTGGGGTGTTGACTTTTCTACCTAGCGTCCCTGTAATAAGGACCGCTGGTCTTTTTCTCTTCATTGTCGGTCGCATCTCCTTTACATCATAAGAACGCTCTGACGTATGCATATCTGTACGTGAGGGTGAGGTCTTAAAAAAAACGAGATCTTCCTTGCCACGTTCCTATTCGGCTTCGTCCGTTGCCCGCCATATATTGCCCATCTCGATAACGTTGCTGGCGACAGCAACAGCAGCAGATGTTAGCGGCTGCCGCAGTCCCAAAAGATATGTGTCTGTCCTGGGAAGCCAACTACCCAACCAATTTAATAGTGGTTTGTTAGTTTGCCAGATCGTGCGTTCGTTCTCGGTCCCTCTTGGCTGATGCGTCTAATGCAGATGCCGTGCTATCACTGGCCACGAAGACTCGCCGATGATTTCATTTCACCGCGGAGTAGCTGGGTTGTTCCATCCAGCTGCTGGCATATTCAGCTACAGCCACAACGATAGCCGCACTGTCGTAGCTCTGTTAGAGCAGTGGCAGCGGGGAGCAGAAGGTAGTTATGGGACCGGCTGGTGCCGCCAAAGTTTCCACACCGCCCACGCACGTTTATGCTTCGTAGCGTTGCGGGCCCTCCCTCGCCTACTTCAACGCTCCTAGCATAACCAAATGCACACGGCCTAGAATCTCCTAGCTCTAGCTTCTGACGTGAGCGAAACAAGCGGGTTACTCGTCAAAGATGCATCTTATACTATTACTATAGCCACGACTGCTCTGCCCTATATCGTGGTGCTCATGCTACAACTAGATACGTTGAGCTTGGCCAGAACCCATATGGCGCAGCAGGCGGACCCTCCACCGCAGTAGCCATGCACTACGAACAAGCGCGCCCTCTGGCGGGCCCGCGAAGAAAAACCTCTCTGTCTGCAAGCAGCGGGAAGGGAAGCTTGCTTGATTAGAGGGCTAGTTCTCCTCTACATGGAGTTCACCTCTGACATTTAGGAAAAAATGCGCAGAAGCAATGCACCTACCGTGAAACCAGAGCGTTCTACAGAAACCGACTGAGAACGACTCGTTCAAGCAGTTTTTTGATATGCATTAGCACTAACTTAAGTCAAAGCAACGGTTCTCGCTTCGTAACCCATTCTCGTGGCTTCATTTTAACCTGACCACACACACCCGTTCTCGAAGTAAGCAGGCAGTGTTGAACGCTGATGTACGCAATACACAACAGTTATAAGCACACAGTGAGTAGTTGTAACCATGTCATATATATATATATACATACATGTATATATATAGAGCGAGTGAAGAAGAGAGAAAGTCGTACCAGACGGGATTCAGCCGGTTGAGCTTGTAAGGATTTAGTACCATATACAATATGTAGCGAGTATGGCATCAACTCATTGAAAAATGTCTTCGACGCGAAATTTTGCGTTCGATGGCACTAAGGGAATAATAGTGCTTACTTTTGCTAGCAATAGCGCAATCGAGGGAGACCTTAACAGCGTCATCGTTATGTCGTATATTCATATGTGATTCATTATGCTTCGAAAAAAGGCTCATCCTTATAGCTAGTAATACGAATCACAAAGAGCAGATATAGTAAGTTAAGGGCACAGGGTAGGCACGTTTTGTTAATTGCCCTCGTCCTAGGTAGGCACGCAAAACTGCTGTTATTGAGCGTAAACTAATGGAGTCTGGGCTATACTCCAACGTACTTAGCTAGGACTTTTTTAAATAGGACCACGGCAAGGAAAAAGGGGAGCAGGAGTCTGGGAAGGGCGATTTATTCATTAAGCGACAATAATCCACTGTGCTGTTGTGTGTGCATTTTCCGTTTTCTCTCGTACCTTTTAGCTTTCTCCTGCATGAGCGGCCATGTTTTGATGAGCAACATTGATATTTGCGAATTTTCCCTGAAATTGAATCTAGCTACTGAGAGCTAACCGACTATTACTCTCGAATCATCACTCTTTTTATGCAACGGCTAATTTCAAAGGTAATGCGAAATCATTTTCAAAACAGAAGATTATCTATGTATTCCCTGCAACCGTCAGGCAAGGAACGGCCGCCAAGTACGAGCTGATTATGACTAGTCAACAGTTGCTAAAAACTACAGTGTCATCATCTAAACAATAACGATAACAATTACGGGATCTGCGACGTGCGGCTGATGGTAATGTTAAAAGTTGTTTCCGTAGCATTATCGTATAATGAACGAGCGTATAATGAATGTGTTACATTGAAAAGTTGCCCGAGTCGCGAGCAAATCAGCGAGAGCTTAGAGATAGTTTCCGACCCCTATGACCCTATGTTCATTCCAGATTAATGTGAGCCATGCATACGTACCCTTTCAATCGGCCGCTTGACCACGTAGTGCATGCACTGCATGGTGTTGGTAGTTTCCGCGGCGACACAAAAGTCAGACCTTGGCAACCGATGGAATTATCGTGTCTTCTTGCCTTGGCTGGCTTATCCTACTTTGCGTGTCCTAACCTTCTCTATGGATTGGAAGGGTAAGGCAGAGCGATTTTGTGTCAAAGGTTGCGGCGGAAAATGGAGAGTCGACGGTGGCGGCCGCAGCAGTGGCAGTCACTAGCCAGACTGGTGAGATTGTGTGGGTGGGTTATTTTTGGACTGATACACTCGTACGCTACGATTACTACTACTACGGTGACGGATCGAATCGGTAGCTGTTCCGCTCTCTCGCTTTCCCATCCCTCTGATCAAAAGCACGGACCAATGGCGGCCACGGTGGTGGTGGAAATGGCGGCAGCGGTGTTTGAGGCAAAGCAGCAAGAGCAGCACGAGCAGGATAACGAAAAATACAATACAAGTGGGCGACGGCACCCTCTGCTGTTGTCTATTTTTTCGGACACACACGCGTACACGCACACAAAGAAACACGCACAAAGTATTATTTTTTTCTCTTCCGGGGCTCGTCCACATGCACCCCAGTACTATCAATAAAGCCAGCAATGCAATGTTCGAACCTAGCTTGGCTCGGAAGTACTTGAAAAGTTGTCGTTATCAAACTGGAACGAGAACTGAGTGATGTTGTTCAATATTAATAAATCAGGGGAGCTTTTTCAAGAGGAATTCGAATTGTATAGGAGAAATTACAATTTTACCTTATTTTGTACTCAGCTACGGGTTTTTTTTTGCCAAAGGAACTTGACTGTTCTTTCAGTCATTTTGAAAGGCTTTTCTTCAAGTGAAAATTCAGTGAAACGTAATCACCATAATATTCTGGACTAATCACTAACGCTGATTCAATACGACTTTCAATGCGTGATTGAACGAACGATACTATCACCTGCCATGAGAATCTTTAAGATGTACGGCATCTAAAACTTCTTAAATTGCTTGGTTAGCCATGTTCTTTGAATATACTCTTACAAGTTCTGGGTAAAGCGAATTAGTCCTCATGTGTAACTTCATTCTGTCCGCCACCGCAACACCATACCGTTATGCGAATCAGGTTGAATCCAGTTGCATTAAGGTCCTGTGTCCCCTTTTTGACATCGGACTTCTCTCAGTGGCCGGTGCGATCCCGAACTATGTAGGTCATCCTTTCAACCACCCTGATCGGCTAATCCCTATGAAAAGGCCTGTCTGTAAAACTCCTTCGTTGGTCCCTTGTCGGTGCATGTTTGATCAACGAGGGAAGAGTTGTGGGCCTGCGAAAGAATCAGACCCGGTAGCTTCAGCAGATGTATCTGCAGCGCTTTCCTCCACGGCTCATCATATATACATGCTCATCCACTGAGCGCCTGACGCCGATACACGGCACTGCTGTCATTCGCAAATCAATGTAGATATGTATGCTTGCCTTCAATGGCACGTCTACTGGCGTGTAATGTGTATGGTATCTTTTAAATAATCCTAGAAACCCCCTATAGCCAGTCCCGATCGGACGTCGATATTGTACAGTACAGCCACAGCAGGAACGTATTTCGGCGAGAGCAGCAATGACTGCCGCCACTGGCGTGGTGGCTTTAGAAAAGCGTCGGGATCCTGCTCGCGAGCTAAAAATAGATGTTCGTCAGCAGGCATTCGTACACCCCCCATTGCTGGAACACACACCGCCACCTTTCCGTCAACGCGGGCGTTACCGACGTCCATCAACGTATATCTGCCGGTAGTCGATTGCGATGGTCGCAGCGGCCCGGCGAGAGCAGCAGCAGCGAAAAGCCCACGCAGTTGCCTCTACA